ACATTTCTTGAGACTATTTGAAGGTAGGCTCTAATTTGATTGTTTAGAGCCTAGGCTCTCTACAGCTGCACCCTTTATTTATCTATTATTATAAATATTTTTTATTTGGGCTTCTTGAGATTATTTGGAGAGTGAAAGAGAATGTGGGGATGTGTATCACTAAGTATTCATTGTAGAGAGAGAGCAAGCTGAGGAATTTGTTTCAAGGAGGGAGTTGGGGTGGATGTAGAGCTGTCCCTTATCTTTCTTTCATCTCTCCATAATTTTTCTTTTTCTTTCTTCGCTTTTTAGAGAGAGATTCTTTTGGTTGATATGTGTCCTCTTATTACGGTTCAATCACAGGTCTGGTGGGTGTTTTTGTGGAATTGGGCACAAAGAATTAGTTGCTTATGGCTTTAAAACAACCAAACTATATAATGATTCCAGAAAAATAAGCTCATACGGTTTTCCAATGTATCTTGGAAAAACTTACAATCTTTTTAAATAAGATGCTTTTTTAATGCAGAAAGAGATTACGAAAATTCAAAATTTAAGTGTTATTATTATTCTTTTGTTTATTTTTCTTAGGAATAGGAAATGCGAGGATAAGTTTGGATTTTGGTGCGTGAGGTGTTACATGGGAGGACTTTGGTGCATAAGTTATTTTGATGATAGGGTAGTAATTGGGTTGGATAGTTTTAAAAAGATAAATCTTAAGTTTGTATGAGTAGTTCTTTTTAGAAAAGATTTGGGAAGGGGTAGAGATTCACGTGAGAGAAAATAGGGAGATAAGGAAGAGGTATGGAGGCTTCATGTGCGAGAAAATTGGGAGGTAGAGACGTACATGAGTTTTAGAGAGAGAGAGAGAGAGAGAGAGAGATTTTTTATTTTTTGTGGGTTTAATTTATTTAGTTATTTTTCCTTTCTTCTAAGTGTATTTAAAAGGGAGATATCCCTTGATTGAAAACATCATAGGGAATTGGTGATTCAGTAAAGAGTTGATCTTGTGAAAAGATCTTTTGGAGTGAATTCCCTCGCAGACCCTGAGAGAGGGTATATTCTCTCACTTTTATTACTATAATTATTTTAATTATTTATTCCTTCCATTCCCCTGTATCAGTTCGTATCAAAGCCTTGAGATCTCTGCTGATCTAGTTATGGTGAGTTTTGATCAAATATTGGAGCCACTCAAAGATGACCTAGTAGAGTGCATTAGCAAAATAGTGGACCAAGGTCTACGAGATTTATTTCATAGATTGCAATCGAAGGAAGAAGAACATGAAGAGGTAACTCTCAATGTTAAAGATGTTGACAAGTATGAAGAAGAAATGCACTAATTGCGGTATGTGAAATACAACCCTTTGAGATCGAAGGAGAATTCAAGATTTAGTTTGGTTTTCTAGAGTTCAGTAGTTCAAAATTCGTCTTCAAATTGTACTCCAAGTGTCTTCTCAGTTGGATCATTAAAAAGAAAAAGTACCAAGGAGAATGGTGGAACTTTATCACCAATTTTTGAGAAGGCCTCTAAAAGATTTGAGTTTGATAAGCTTGAGGTCGAGCTTCTCTCAATCCAGGGAGAATAATGCAGAAAGAAATTAAAAAAATTCAAATTTTTAGTGTTGTTATTATTTTTGTTTATTTTTCTTAAGAATAGGAAGTGTGCTAGGATAAGTTAGGATTTTGGTGCGTAAGTTGTCAAGTGGGAGGTTTTTGGTGCGTGAGTTGTTTTGATGGTAGGGTAGCAATTGGGCTGGTTAGTTTTAAAAAGATATATCTTAAGTTTGGTATGAGTTGTTCTTTTTAGGAGGCTTTTGCGGTATAGATTAGGAACTAATCTTTTTGAGAAGTATTTGGGAAGGGATAGAGATTCATGTGAGAGAAAATAGGGAGATAAGGAAGAAATATGGAGGCTTCACATGACATAAAATAGGGAGGTAGAGATGTACGTGAGTTTGAGAGAGAGAGAGAGAGAGAGAGAGAGAGAGAGAGAGAGAGAGAGAGAGAGAGAGAGAGAGAGAGAGAGAGAGAGAGATTATTTATTTTTTGTGGGTTTTATTTTATTTTATTTTTTTCTAAGTGTATTTAAAGGGGAGATGTCCCTTCATTGAAAACAGTAGAGAGATTGGATTTGAGTAAATAATTTAGTTCTTGTGAAAAGATCTTTTGAGATGGACTCCCTTGCAGACCCTGAGAGAGGATATATTCTCTCACCCTTTGTAACTATTTTTATTTCAATTATTTCTTCCCTCCATCCCCCAACATCATTTTTAAATTGGACATTCAATCTGAGTCTTGAGAAGTTACCTACTTGATGGGGTTGTGGTAAAGCAGGGCGTATTAAAACGTAGACATTGTTAGGAATTTGATAGTACTTTAGAGCACAATTGTATAAGAATGCAGTGAAGTTCTTGGGCTACGTTGAAGTTATGTGGTTCTTTTAAATGGGAAATGTACCAAAAAAATCCCATTTAATTTGAAGAATTAGAACATAGTTATGCCAGCTCATGCAATAGATATCCAAATTGGATTTTTTTTACTGGATCAGTTCGGAGATTCAATGTTTAAATCCTTCCCACATACTTTTTTTTTATTGAAAGGTAGGGTTTGGATGTTGGATGTCCGAATCCTAAGTTTCATTAAAAGAAATCACAAGTGAGTGAGCTTAGACATCCACTGCCCTAATTTAGCCCCCCAAAAATGCAAAAAGATTGGTTGCCAATTCTATACTTCTTAAAAAAAGAGATAGTGTAATGTGCTCCCATGGGATCACATTGTAAACTTAGTCCCTCGAATAGAAGACCTACTTAGATGGAGGATCCAAAATTTTTCTTTTAGAAATAATTTATGTGTGATTCTAAAGTGGATCCCAAAATCAAGTGATTAAATGTAAACGCAAATGCACCCTTTTCTCTCTCTTAACTCATATCTGTCAACTTTTTTATTATAGAATGCTCTTATAGGCGTGCATTGTACACTTGCTTCCTTGCGTAAAATGTGTTATTTTTATTCAAAATTTTGGGATCCACTTTAGAATTACCAGATGATTATTTTTCAAAAAGGAAAAGTTTGGATTTTTGATCTAGATGGGTTTTATTTGAGGGACTAAGTTTACATTGTGTTCCCATTGGTGTACACTATACTTGCTTTTTTCTAGAAAACTTATAGAAGATAGGTTCGAATACTGGATGTCCTAACTGATACGTTTTCTATTATTTATGAAAATGGGTTTGCACATTGGATGTCCTAACCCCCCACTCGTCATTTTTTTTAATCGAACCCTAGGTTTGAACATTCAATGTACAAACCCAGCCTTTCACTAAGAAAGCATGTGGGCTAGGTTTGGATGTTGGATGTCCAGATCCAGATCGGTCCAATAACAAAATATGTGCTTTGGATATCCAATATGAGATCTGGGATTTCACAAAAACGTGAAGACCACGGTTTGGACATTGGATGTTCACCTAGGTTTTAACTTGGGAATTTAGAAAGTACTAAAAAGTGGACTTGAATGTAAAATGCAACATATGGGGGACTACTTTGTAATTCCATAAATTAATTGAGATATCCTTATTCATTAGGCCTCCTTGTGGGCATACTTCTTATAAGACCAGTTTCATTCAGTGCATATATTCTTCCTTTTCATCGGCTTGATCAATTGGGATTTTTTAATGGAATATGTTTATATTTTGTATGGTCTGGCTACAATTGATGTTTAGTAATCAATTTTGGCAATTGCTCCTGGAAGTAAATTTGTCCTATGCACATTTAGTCACAACTATTTAACTATGAAATGTGCAATTTTTGTTTTGGCATTTATTATTGATTTCCATGTTTTATTTCCTTTGTTTAATTGTATCCAGCTGGTTGTTTTATGCGATATTTGACATGCTGCATTCAAACAAGTCCTTTGATTTCTGATATCTGTTCGTGAATTTTTTTTGCACTTGTTTCTATCAGATTATTGAAATGTTTATTTTATTTTTCCGAAGTCGCTAATTGTTCTTTTGTGTATTGAGTTATGCCTTGCCTCAGGCCTCTGGTGCTCAGTATGGGGACTGCAGCGATTTCGAGAGTGGAACACGTAGAAATCGATCTCGATCGGCATCTGAACAAGTAAAGCACAGGAATTGTGGAATGTTCAAGGCTTTGGGGACCAACCAACTTCCAAATCTTGGGAATGACACACACCCTAATGGAAGTGTTCCAAACATTGACTCTGGTCCTGGAAGCAGTTCTACATATCCTACAATTGTGCAGCCATCAAACCGTTCATTACATCCTAATCCTCATTTTAATTTTATTCCAGAAAGTATCAGTTATAGGCTAAACAGAGCCACTAGCTTGGGTTCATCTGACGCTTATTCTCTATTTTCATCAAATTTGGCAATGCCAAACTCTGAGAATGATGCAGAGAATATTAATAGAACCTGTCAAAATAGTGACTTTTATCCTGCATTCAACAGTCAGACCATGCTTCAATGTGGTGATTTACCTTCTCTATCACCTTATCCAGATTCTCCTTTGGGGGATTTACAGTCAGGCAATCCTGTTTCTGATATCCCAATTAATGAAGGCAATGGGGATGTATCAGTATCATCTCCTGGATACATAGCCATAGGTAGTATTGATACAATGGCTGGAACTTCTCAATACCCATCTTCCCAAAGGAATACTATAGAACCAGAGGTCAGTGAAGCTAGGCGTCCTTGTAGACGGCTGGGTGCTCTGGAACCTGTGGAAGGAAGCATGCAATTTAGCCGAACTCTCAGTGTTGGAAGACTTAGGGATAGAGTTCTTCGTAGAACATCTTCTTCTGAGGGTTCTTTGGGCAACCTTCAAGAGGACACTGTATTTAGAGACATGAGGCAGAGTAATGGAAGACGGTTTTGGGGAGCCTTAACTGGATCAGCATCTGGAAGGAGTAGGGAAGCACCTCAGTCTCCAGCCAGCTATGAGTTTTCTAGAACCCCTAGGTCTGTAAATAGCAGCCAAGAATATGAGGTCAATGTTGCAAATTTGGGGGGAGGTAACCACAACTTGTTGGGGCATAGGAGCTCATTCCTTGAGCGTAGGAGAAGAGTAAGATCTCAGGTTGGTGGAAGTTTTCTTTTTTTGGTAGTGATTCATTACAAAGATACCGCACATTATACTGCATTAGTTATTGTGATTGGGAATTTGTTTAGTTACTCATGCTATTTGTTAAGTAACTCAACTATGGTGATTGAAATGTCAAATAATTGGCTATTTATGATTTTTCTCATTTTTCAAATGTTTTGGTACAGAATGTCTGCAACATTAGTTCATGTAATGTTGGATACATGTTCGATTGTGTGATTTGCTTTGTAATTGAACCAATTCACCATGAAATTCCCCATTCAAATTCATCAATATTTGTGAAGGGGAAACTTTCTCTGAGTCCCCAACCACAGACTGGGAGTCCCAGCCGTACAATAATATTGGATGGCTGGGAAGGTTTCAAGGCAAATGTACACATTTTTTGGCTTGGAGCACTGGGTACTGCCTTGCAGCCAAGTACCCAACTCAGAAAAACCCAAGTCAAGCTTTCACCCTCCTGCATAAAGCCCAATTCAGCTATTTCTGGTAAAAGTTCTCTGCAACTTTCTTTGGTTTTCTCCTTTTTTCCGTAAGCGTTTGTGAGTGAGTTAAAGCACCGAACTCAACCAATTATAAGCTAATTGTAAACTTATAATCAAAGATGAAGACGTGAACTCTCTGCTTCGATCGAAAATCTACTGCTTCACATTACTTGCTACTCTTGTTTCTTGTATTATCAGTAAGTCCTGCACCATAAGTGGCAGATACTTTGCTCTCTATTGCTCTTTAAATTGCCTTGAAGTTTACTCTGATTTCCATGTATCTAGTGTAGAATGCTTCTCTTTTTCACAAATCTTATTTTCATCTTCTCTGTTAGAAGAATACTTATGCGATTTACACTTAGCTCTCTGTTAGAAGAATACTCATGCGATTTACACTTAGCTCTCCTCTGCAAACCTTCTCTCTACTCTTCGCCTGTGTGAAACTATTTTTGAAACCCAATGTCAGCAATTTTTAGAAGCATTTGATTGTCAGATTGCAAATAAACTGGAGATCTGGAACCTGAAATTCCGTATAAATGATCTGGTGTCAGTAATATGTGAGACGTGAGAGCCACACAAGAAACTACTGTATTGCATGTGTGAGCCCATTGGTTTCTGAAACCTTAGAGCTTTTGATTATAAAAGATTTCTTTATTGAGTTTCGTGCACTGCATTTTCTCCTTCTTCAGCCCATGATGAACAACATTTCTAAGGGTTTTTCCCCAGGTAATACCCAATTTCTGTGTGTTTCAATAGTGCTTTTTCTTTAGGAGAGAGAGATTTGCAGAGGAAAGAGAGCGGTGTTTCAGAGATGCGGGGGATGGTTTGCTCAGATTGGGTTTTTTTGTGGTGGGTTGGGGGGGAGTTTTGGAGATGGCAGGATTTAGGTCGATATTTCCTTTGTTTTTTTTTTTTTTTTGTTTTTTTTCCTTTCTTTTGAGGTGGTTTACGAGCTACTAGCCTGTGCCTAGTATTCCAAGGCAAAAAGAGTGACATTTCTATTGAAATTTTCCCATCTGTACGATTTACTAGATGGCTTGCAGTCTTCAGTATTATCTGTGGTTGGGGGATATGGAAAGTTTCCCCATCTGAAAAACACACACACGTTTATCTGTTTATACTTCACAGGTGTGTGCATATGTTTATATATATTTATGTGCATCTGTAAATAACATAAAACCGGAAATCCTCTGTATACTATTCATATTTTCCCATGCGATTGTAATTTGCTTGATCCCTGTTTTTTTATTATCTTTGTTTTTTATGCTCACCTGTTTTGTGGCTATGGTTTGTGCCAACACATTGATTTGCAGGTTCGCGCCCTCCAACGGCTAGGTAGTCGTTTTGAGAATTTAGCTGGGCATGACAGGTCATGTATCTTATCTGGTGATCATCGTACAGGTCGCTGCCTGTGCCAAGCAAGTGGTCGGGTGGATGATCCAACAGATGATTCAAGTACCAGAGCCAGCATATCTAGGATTGTTATGTTGGCTGAAGCACTTTTTGAGGTGCTACTTTGGACTTATGACATGATATTATATAATTTCAAGCTGCCTTGTCTCAAAAAAAAATATCAATAGTATTTAATTTGAAAAGAATATCTGGTTCCTTCATCTGTTTTATGCAGGTTTTAGATGAAATTCACCAGCAATCAGTAGTCTTATCGTCTCGACCATCTGTATCTTCTCTTGGATCAGTTCCTGCACCAAAAGAGGTTGTAGACTGCATGCCTATAAAAATATATAGTAAACTAGAGAAGCATCAGAATGAAGAGACTGCACAGTAAGTTACTGCTTTAAACGAAATGTTGCATTAATTTTGTTATGGTTGATAATTTCACCTTATGAATTGTGAGAAGATGACATAGAATATTGAGATACATGTGCACATACATACAGTGCATGTGTATTTTGTTTGTTAATCACATACAATAATCTTTTCTATATACTATTTTGGGCAATATTGAAATACTGTTGAGGGTCACAAAAAACAAAAAGGATGATACTGGGCATTGCTAAAGGTCTTGATTGGCTACAGTGATGTACTATGTGTGCTGCTGATTATGCGAAACACACATTTACATGCCTGCTTGCTTGTTTAGGCGGGCACTGGTTGATTGGTTGTCATTGGCATTGTACTGTGGTGGATAATAGTCATGCTATATATGTGTATGAATGTGGTGCATGTTTGGGGAGCTCTTATATATCTATTGATTGCGACATCTTTTAGGTTGTATATTTGTCATTCTGAGAGTAGTTTTCTTCCAAACGGATTATTTTTGGAGGTATTGAGTACTTAGTTTCTATTTTCTTTGGTGATTAATGCTTTAGTTTGGCTGATTTAGGGTAGCTACCACCCTGTTGTGGCTCGGTTGATTGTCTTTGAGCAGAGTATATTGGTCACTCAAGTATAGGATGCTTTTTCCATGTAACCATTCTGTTTTGCTCTTTTTCGACAAATTGATGCAACTAGCCTCTTGCTAACCAAGTAAGAGAAAGTGTGTTTCTTTCTCTTTTATATCTATTTTCATCCCTAAAAAGACCCGTTCACAGTGTATCTTTAATTAGAAAGGGACATTCTGAAAGTTTTGCAACTTTGCCTGCCTGGCTGATTGTCTAATGGCGTCTTCCATTTAGTATACTCTTTAATATGTCACTGTTCAGATGTGAAAATTTAGCCTGTATGCAACTTTCTGTTTAATCGCACATTATGCAATTTGCTGGTATGCTTATGTCATTCACGAATTGAAGCAACAACTGGTATGCAGTTGTATTGATCGTTTTAATGATGTTCATTTATGTTGGTCATTTGTCATTTCCTGTGACATGTTTCTCTTTATTCATATTCTATTCCTTTTAATCAAATCAATGTGATATTGATAAGAAGAAGTAATCTTGTCAAAGTTCCTCTTTTCACATATTTTCTATCTGTTCATGAAGCAGATATGCCTTTTTTTGCGCATATTGCCCTCAGTTAAATCTATATGCTTATTTTCTTGGAACAGATGTTATATATGCCTTGTGGAATATGAGGAAGGGGACTGCTTGAGACTGTTGCCCTGTCACCATGATTTCCACCGGTCATGTGTTGACAAGTGGCTGAAAGAGATACACAGGTACTGATATGCATTTCCAATAAATACTTTACTACCTTGAATTATGAGTCGCTTTGCAGTTTTTTCTATCACAATTACTGGCATATATATTAGGATTGGTAGATTAATTCTATAAAAATGGCACTGATTGGTTGAGGTCACTTGGCACCTCAGTGGGGAGCAATGGTTTAACTTTAGTAGGCCTCTCTTATCTATTTGGGAGTCAGTTGTTGCCAAAAACACTTGATTGGGTCTGTGTGCATCATGTGTTTGGTATAGGTTTGGCTGGGCATCTTGACCCTTAGTTGTTGGGTTCTTCCAACACAGGTGGCAATCCCATTCCGGAATTTACCTATGGCCATCCGGGAAAGGGATCTTCATGGGTTCTCGATTTTAGATTTTGGTATCTTGATGCCCACTGTAAGGGATCTTGATACCCATTGTTGGGGAACTTGATCCCTACCTTAAAAACCAAGATAATAGTCAAGATAATAATTTTCCAAAATAAAAACTAGGAGAAAACGAAGAACAGGATGATTTTCCATGATGTTTTAGTTGTTACATGTAAGTTTAAGGCGATGAGCAGTGGATATGGCCCTTCCATGTAAGCATTCCTAATGGTTGACCATTTGTACAGTTTCCCAAATGAGGGCACTGGTTGCACTAGACTTCTCATTGAGGGGAATGAAATGTAACCTTGTGGCAATTTCTCGATGGGACTTGTTGCAACATTGAATTTCAGAGGAATCCTGTGTTATATCAGCATGTCCTGTTGCAAGTAAATATTGTATTCCTTGTTGGACCAATAAGAAAGAACCAGTCGGTTGGGTGTTAGAGAGGAGTAATGAATTATTTGTTGTATGACAATGTACATTATAAAGTTATCTAAGATAAAGTTACAGGCAGTTTTAGAGATAAGTTATCTTTTTGAAAAGCAATTTTTACTTCATTCACAGTAATTTTCTGAAAATCACATTTGTGTTTGTGAAATATAGGTAAAAATAGTTGGAACTTGCTGAGAAAGTTAAATAAGATGGAGCACATGCTTGAGAGATTTAAAAAAGACCTGGAAGAAAGCCTTGGCAAAATAATGCAACAAGTGATATAAAAACTACTTGAAAAAGAATATGAAGAGGATGAAGATCAAAATCGAATCTTTAATCAAAACATTAATCAAACGCCACGGCTCACTTCAGAAGTTTAATTGGTTGTAAGGCATGAAATACCATTGGAGAGTGCAAGAGATTTTGGCATCAGTTGACTTCCTTGGATTACATGTCTATGTGTTGCACATTACAAATTTATTGGATTAGGTGTAACAGTCAAAAGATTGACAGAAACAGGGTGAAAACAACTAGTTCAATTATAGTGGAGAAGACAAGGATGGAAAATTTTCGAAGTCCCTGAGCTTGAGGATGAGCTTCGCCCCACCCCTAAAGAATGATGTAGAGAGGTGGGGGAAATTGCAGTTTCTAAAATCAAATTCCACCACTGATTATGAAATTTGTAGCTCAAAAAATGGTTTCGATCTTGCGGATTTGTGAATACCTGAAAATGGTTGGTCAAGAACTGCAATTTCCGTGAATTATGTGTTGAGGCTTTACCCACGAGAGGTTAACAATTGAACAATTGAACACTTTACCAATATGTTTTGATTTACTATCAAAGTATTTTCATTACCAAATTACCCACGAGAGGTTAACAATTGAACTCTTTACCAATATGTTTTGATTTAATTTCAACATACCCATAAAACAATGTACGGTCTTGAGTAGGAATGGTTCCAAAAGGTTAAATTGTTAAATAGTTCATCTCTTGTGGTATTTGATAAATTTCACTTCGTTCTATTATTTCTTTTGGAGAGACTTAAATGTGGTTATGGTTATTTGGTCTTTTAATTTTTTATTATAGAGTGTATGTGTCTTTTTTATTGTAGAGTATTGAGGGGTAGAGTTGGAAGTTTAATTTTAAACAAACGAATTTTATTGTGCTTAACTTTTTTTAAGAAGCAAGGTAGGTTTTAGGGTTTTTCTTACATGTGTATGTTGGACATTCATCATAAAAAACAAGAACAAATGATTTTTGGGGTCGTGAAAAAAATCTTTGGGCTGGTGGACTCTCTTGCAAACCAAGGGGGAGGGTCAAAATCTCTTGACCTGCCTACCAAGTTGGATTTCCCTACAGACCTAGAGAGGGTGAAATCTTGTCAACCTTGTTATTGAATGGATTTTGCTACAGATCCTGAGAGAGGGTATGTTCTCTTATCTACCTTTTTGGTAAATTTTTATTTTTGTTTTTTAGTTTATTGTCTTTTCTCCTTCCTCCGTACGCAATTTTCCCTCAGAAGTAATTCAGTCTTATAAAATGTTTAGTAAGTTGTTTTTCTGAAAGTATGAATTGTAATGAGGATAATTTCGGTGTTGAAGTTTAGGGTTAGGGCCATTCTAGTAGGGATTAAGATGTTAGTTTGAGCGTGACCTACTCTTGTATCTTCAGTATACTAAGTAAGAACTCTTGTATCTTCAGTATACTAAATAAGAGAAGAGTTTCTAGAAAATGGCAATCGAACGACATGAGACTATGTTCTAGTGCCGTGGCATTGGTTACATTGTACCGTCCCGTCCAATTTGCTGTAATTAGGGCCTGCGTCTTGCATTGTTTAATGTTTTTGATATTTCTCTATTCGTTTTCTGTGAATTAGATTAGGGTTCCCTCTTGGAGCATAAGTTTGAGGGATTTGATTTTCGTAAGATTTGTGGGATGGAGGCCCTTCTGAGTCCATCTATGTGACTTTTGATGATTGAAATTGCTGGTGACTTTTGCCAAAGAAGTGGCTCTAGAGACTAGTGAACATATACAATCATAAAAAAATGGTTAGTGAAATATTCTCAAAAAAAAAAAAGGTTAGTGAAGATATAAAAAAAGGTGGGAAGATCATGAATCTTGCTGAAACCGTATATATTATGGTTAATCATGAGTGGTGAGGGTCATCTCTTAAAATATACCATTGTTAAGTATGTTGATTACATTGCATTCTTCACAATTGGAAAAATATATTTGAATATTTTTAATATGGTAATTATATGATGACAATTGTATAAATTCATATGTGATTAATAAAATTCTTGCAATTAGTTATTTATATGATACTAATTTTTATTATTCACAATCTAGTAAAGTTATAACATTTGTAATTATCAAGGTTCAGAGCAACGGATCGGTGACTAGAATTGATCACACCCATACACATGTCGGATCAGGGAATTGGTGGACCAGATCGGAGAATTGGCGGAATTGGCAATTTTTGTCCAAAAAAATCTTTAAAAAATCACTATAAATATATGAAAATAGTGGTTTTTTAGTTTCTAAAAGAATTTAGGAGTGGTGCATTGTGTACTTTCATTATTTTGTAAAAATAGGTGAATGCTGTGAAGCTATTTTTCTGTTTGGATGTTTATATAATTATTACTTGTAATATAGCATTATAATATTTCATTGAAACAATTTTAAAATGTTAGAAAACATTTCTATATTATAAGATTAAAATAAAATAATTTTCCATATAAAGTAAAATTGGTATCACATCAAATATTTATGAATTATCCTTACTCGTCCAAAATTATCACAACCTAACTAACTATAATATTATGCATTGAAATTAAAATTATTAGTTTATATTTTATAATCATTTTAGTATTCAAATTAGAATAAATTTTAAAATTTGTATTATAATATCGTCTAATTTATAAAAATTTAATTCACAATTATAACAAAAACTAGTAAATTATATAATATATAGTATAAATAAATTAATACACAAAATATAAGACTTGGTTATCAATGTAATTAGTATAAATATTAATTATTGTTGAAATTCACATGCTATAACTTCATCTCTCTCCCCTTCTGGTTGATCTCCCCTTCTGGTTGCTAATTGCTTTTTATTTTTGACTTAGTTTCTCTACATTATGATACGGTAACATAGTTTGTGACAAAACATTTTTGTAGAAAACAACTAAGATTATTTGTGATGAAACCTTGTTATAAAAATCTCCATGAGAAAAAGTTATGACTGGGTGACCCAAAATCTCTCTCTCTCTCTCTCTCTTTAATTTGAAGGGCTAAGGGAATTGTCACAGTGAAGAGATGTGGGACTAGATGGCTAGATAAAAGGCTGTGAGGTCGATTCCCCTATGCGCACGTGATGGGGATGGAATTGGAAAGGTGAATGCGAAATGGAGAGAAGGGGCCAAGTTTGCTGGCATTATGCGCAGTAGCAGCCCCACTTTTTAAGAAACTCAAATAATTTTCAAAAAGTCCAAAATACTGTTCATGATGTCAATATGTGAGACTAGTGATGTAAATTTTCAAAAAGTCCAAAATACTGTTCATGATGTCAATATGTGAGACTAGTGATGTGTGACCGATTCATGGTGTCATGAGAGCGATTTGTGATGTCAAATATGTATGACTAGTGACGTGTGACCGATTCATGATGTCATGAGACTGATTCCACGTGTCAAAACGCTCGGATCCTTTTTTTTAAACAGATCCGGGAAGGTCTTCGGACTGGGTCACCGATTTTTTAAACACTGGTAATTATTATTATGGGCATTATTTATTATATGCATATAATACTAATAACAACAATTGAATTATTATAGTGAAAGATAAATATTTTTGCTATAAAGTATGTTTACGTATAAATTTCTTTTTAGAATGATGTATACGTATAAAAAATTATGAGACACCTTATCCTTTTTTGTATAAAATCACTAATGAATTAACTAATTAGTTAATGTGATGATAAGCTATTTTATTTGCACTTAATTTGTAGCAAATAATAATTATTATTATTTTCAATAACCATGTAATCAGTATGTTCACTATCTCTCTCGTTCTGTCCAAGTGTGTGATATATATGTGCAATTGAGTTACTAAATTTGTGAATAACATTAGAAATATTTCTTATACAATGATTGTATAACAGCTGTGATCAAAATCTTCAAGTGAATAACATT